TTTATTGTAATTGAGATTTTAATCTGTATAACGATTTAATACATTTTTGAGGGGAGTTATTTTGTCATTGATTGTATGGGTGTATTCTTTTTTAACTTGTAAGCCGCCTTGACAGCCTCGGCTTAAGGCGGGGTATAAATAAAGTTGTGTTGTTGTTGTTGTTGTTGTTGTTATTATTATTATTATTTATAATCAAGAAAGCCTGAAACCAAGTATACTATGGAAGCCTTTGGGTTGCTAGGGCTTAATCTGCTTGTTAGTCACATAGATGTAAAAAAACTCAACTAACATCACAATTACAGTCATTCATAAGTCCAGTCAGGTCAGGATCAATGTTAATAGGAGCATCAACAATATGTAGGTGAATAAACAAGGAGTATCAAATGAGCATATAGAGCATCCAGAGAGAGGTTCCTAGAGACAGATAAACAAGATTAGCTGAAACAAACACAGTTTCAGGAGGCAAGTAGGTGAGCACTCATAATATAATCTAACAAGTTTCAAGAAAGAGCACAGATTCATAAGACTGAGAGAAGAAAAAAATAATCAAGAGAGCAAAAACATCATCACAAAAGGGCCATGTAATTAGTGGTGGAGTCTCCTTCTTTGGAGATCTTTAAACAGAGGCTGGATGGGCTTCTGTCCGGGATGCTTTAATTTTGAGTTCCTGCATGGCAGGGGGTTGGACTGGATGGCCATTGTGGTCTCTTCCAACTCTATGATACTATGATTCTACTATAGGCCAATCCAAATTTTCTGATAGTCTTGTTAATAAGCACAGCCAGGCTGGCTGGAAACTGTCAAGGAAGCAACTGGTGGTCTGGTAAAATATAAATATCAGGACAGAATGTTAGGACTAAAACACTAATTCCTGTCTGTCTACTGCATTTTTTCCCTTCCATGTAGGAAAACCATGGGTGAACCCTTTCAATCAAGCTTTCTGTATACAGTTAGTTTTTGCCATGAGCAAATACACCACCAATTAACTACATTTTTAACTGGAATGAACCTGGGTGGACTGCATAACAAATTTTCTGGAAATTAGGGCCTGCCTTCTAAAAGCGGAAAATCAGCATTCAAAACAAGTGATTTGACAGAATTTACTAAATCCCTCATAGTTCGGATGAAATAGGCCAAAGATCACTGAGGTGAGTGTGAATATATATTCTCCAAGTGGTTTGGTACTTGTTTGCTTGTTTAAAAAAATAATACTCAAAACTCTTTCAAAGGCCGTTTCCAAATAAAATAGTATGCATCCTCTTCATACAGAAAAAACAATGAAATTACTCAACAGCAACACTTTTCCATGTCGTGGAGGCATCTACTGACAGCTTTAAAGGAAGAGAAACAGGGGGAAATCAATATTGAAGTGACAGTTATCATGGAGAAGTCACAAAGTTCAAGACATGTGTAAGGGACCAATATTTCAAACAGATGAGCATTTGGAAGGAAACTAGAGGTACCACTATATGGCACTGATGAAAAAAGACTTTCTATATAATACTTAAAGGCAGGCAATTGGCACATATTTCAAAATAGGAAAGACCTTTGTCAGATGCCTTTCTTGCCATAGAAGGAGCAAAAGTAAATAAGTAACATCTTTCCTAGCATTTCTTGAGGATTTTGATATCAAACTGATAGATGTTTATTCAGAATGTCCTGCAAATACCCTGGCTGAACTGCAACCTCAGAAGCCAATGGATCAGTACAATACTTGTTTCGGGGGGGGGGGAACAGTTGTGTTAATCAGGTGCAGAAAAAACAATGATGTCTTGTGGTCCCTTAAATATTGTGAGCTCCTGTCACTAATCCCAGCTTCTGCCAACCTAGCATTTCATAAGCATGTAAATGCAAGTAGATAAATGGGTACCACTTCTCAGTGGGATGGTAGACAGCATTCTATGCAATCATGCTGGCCACATGACCACAGAGTAGTCTCTGACATCGCTGGCTCTTAGGCTTAGTAACCGAGATGAGCACCACCCTCTACGATCAGACATGACTTGACAACCTTGTCAATGGGGAATGCCTTTACCTTTACTTTTATTGTGGCATAAGGCTTTGCAGTCTGTTTGTAAGATGTTATGCAGTCATCTCAATCTCTGACACAATGAGCTCTTACCCACACTCGTTTATACAACATTGTTAGCTCTACAGACAGTGACACCAGATGATACACTACAATACTTATTATTAAAGGTAAAGGTAGTGTCTTGACATGAATACATAAATTATTATTATTATTATTATTATTATTATTATTATTATTATTATTATTAGTCATAAGTGACTGTAGGAGGTGGTGCTCATCTCTGTTACTAAGCCAAAGAGCCAGCATTGTCTGAAGACTACTCTGGTGGTCATGTGGCCAGCATGACTGCACCAAACGCTGTTACCTTCCCCCCAAAGTGGTAACTATTAATCTACTTGCATTTGCATGCTTTCGAACTGCTAGGTTGGCAGAAGCTGGGACTAATGACAGGAGCTCACCACATCATGCAGTGCTTGGGCTTCGAAATGACAACCTTCAGATCTTAAGATCATCAGAATTGGCATCTTAACCACTAAGCCACTGCATCCCATAAGTAATACATATTATTACCTATTAGTAATATTTATTATTACTGCACTGCATAATAACAATTTGGCCAAGAACCAGTATGGCATAGTGGTTTGAGTGTTGGACTTTGACTCTGGAGACCAGGGTTCAATTCCCAGCTTGGCCATGAAACACACTGGGTGACCTTGGGCAAGTCACACCCTCTCAGCCTCAGGGCAAGGCAAACCTCCTCTGCACAAATCTTGCCAAGAAAACCCTTTGATAGTTCGCCTTAGGGTTGTCTTAAGTCAGAAATGACATAAAGGCACACAGCAACAAAAACATGCAGGTTACAAAGCACCTTAAGAAAATCTAGCATCCTCCCCTTAGAGTCAGCAATAAGTCAGAAATGAGTTGAAGACATGCAACAACAATACATAAGGAACTAGACACTGGACATATGCCTTCTTCCTATCCAGATGTAAACATCATCTCTGAAAGGGCTCTAACAGTTCCTACATCATTGTGGCATTTCAACCAATTGGACTTGGCTGAAAGGCAATACTCTGGTTGCAGCCCACCAGAAGCATTATGAAGTGATTTAGATATTGAACAGAGGCAATATACTGGGTGCTGCAGCACAACTACTATTTATTTTATATTCATTTGATTTCAGAATCACAGAATCATAGAGTTGGAAAAGACCTTAAGGGCCATCTAGTCTAACCCACTGCCATGCAGGAAAACAGAATCAAAGCACACCAGACAGATGGCCATCCAGCTTCTGTTTAAAAACCTCCAAAAAAGGAGAGTCCACCACCCTCCTAGGGAGTGTGTTCCACTGTCAAACAGCTCTTACTGTCAGAACATTCTTCCTAATGTTGAGGTGGAATCTCTTTTCTTTTAGTTTGAATCCATTGCTCCAGGTCCTATTCTCTGGAGCAGCAGAAAACAAGCTTGCTCCAGCCACAATATGACATCCCTTCTGGGGATAATTTAATAATAGTAATAACTTCCATCACTACTTTTTTGAATTTGTATTCCAAGATAGTGTGAGATGTCGCCCAAATTCTTGATATCAATCTTTCTTGAGATTCTGGATTATCTCTTCACTATCTGATTTATCTTCACTGCACAGGATCAGATCATCAATACAACTTGTGATATAAGTCCATTTCTTATTTCTGAATCTCTTGTACACACATTTATCAACAGTGCCTGGAGTGAACCCCTATTTGATAAGAAGCTGGTTCAGTTTTTCACTCCATGCTCTGGAGGCCTGTTTTAAACCATAAATACTCTTTTGCAATTTGCATACAAGATGTTTCTTTCCAGGTACTTGGAATTCTGGAGGTTGTTCCATATATAGTTGTTCAGACAGATCAACATAGAGAAAAGCTGTCCGGATGTCCAGATGTTGAACATTCATTTTCTTGAAGGCTGTGACAGCTAGGAGAGTTCTGATGGTTGTGTGTGTGATTACCCCAGCAAAAGTTTGGTTGTAGTCTTCACCATACTTTTGAGTGTAGCCTTTAGCCACAAGTCTTGCTTTGTATCGCTGAATCTCCCCTTCTGCATCTAGCTTTGTGGTAAAGACCCATCTATAGCCAATTGTTCTTTTCCCTTCTAGCAATTCTAACATAGTCCATGTCTTGTTTTTATATAAAGATTGCATCTCTTCACTAACAGTTTGTACTCACTTCTCAGAATCTGTCTTTGGCAGTCCCTTGATCTTCTTCCAATCAGAGGGTTTTGGAATTCTTTCTCTGTGGGTTGATAAGAGAATCTGTCAGGTGGGACACCTTTATTGGAGCATTCTGATAGTCTCACCTAGACTTGGATATTTGGCTCTGCTTCTTATGTGCCATCCAGTTTTTCATCATTAGGCTGGTCCACTGCAGGTGTAGCCCCTTTTGGATGCAAGACCTCTGGAGGATGAAAGAATGCCACATGCTCTAGTTGCTGGTGGGAGTCTTCTTCCACTGCAAATAAATCTGGATAGACATCTTGATTTGGATTAGATTTGGGCTGTGCTCTTTCATCTACATAAACAGCACTTGTTAATTCTATTGTGCATCCATCTGGATTTAGAATTCTGTAACCATTTCTAACATAACCAACAAAAATTCCCTCTTCACTTCTGCAGTCAAGTTTGTCTCTTTTCTGTTTGGGAATATAGGTAAATGCTTTGCTTCCAAAAACCATTAGATGGTTTAATTTAGGCTTAATTCCATGCCATAACAGGAATGGGGTTACATTTTTGGATTTAGTTGGCACTCAGTTGCATAGGTATGTAGCAGTCATGAAGGCTTCAGATCAATAGTGTTTAAGCATATTGGCCTCCAAAAGCATGATGACTGCCATCTCCTGGAGAGTTCTGATCATTCTGCCACAATATTTTGTTCCGGAAAATAAGCCTGTGTGGTCTGATGCTAAATGCCATATTCCTTTAAAAATTCATCAAATTCAGCATTGACAAATTCAGTGCCATTGTCTGTGTGGAGGCTCTTGAGTTTATAGCCAAATTTGTTAGAGGCTTGACTAAAATACACTTTGAATTTTTGAAAGACTTCACTGTTCTCTCTGAGAAGGTAAGTGTTTGTGTATCTGCTGAAACCATCAATAATAGTCATAAAATAAGAGTTATCTCCTGCTGACTTTTGATTCATTGGTCCAGAAAGATCAATGATGCTGTGGTTTGTACACTGTAAAAGATCTAATGCTTTGTTAGATTGTCTCACAGTAACTGGAGGATGTGAAGCTCTTGTGGCTTTTGCTTTCAAGCATTCTACACATTTTTCATTATTAGAGCACGCTTTGAATTTAAAGTCTCTTGCAAGCTCTTGATTTGCCAGTCTCTTAATATTTTCAACACTTCAATGAGCAAATCTGCCACGCCATGAAGATGAACAGTCTTTGTGATTACATCTGGTCACACTGTTCACAGATAAATGGAAAATCTGCATCTGATAACAACCATGAGATCCTAAGTCTGCTTTAAAAATCAAATTTTTACCATGAAAACCAAAGCAGGTTTGCTTTATGAAACTGACACGGTTGCCTCTTGATGTTGTGGTTTGCACACTGTAAAAGGAGGCTTGCATAGTAAGCATAAGAGATTTGTAAGGTTCCTATTCTGTCAGGACCAAATTTTGTTTGTGAAATAACAGTCCCTGCAAAAACTTCCCAACCATTAGTAAGACAGGAAAAGTTACATTTGCATTAAAATCAATAAACCATTCTTTGTTGTTGAAGTAATGTGCACTTGCTCCACTGTCAATGAAAGTTTGGTTTTTATATTTATCTCCAGCAATTTGAAATAATTGTTCATGAATCAAACCAATATCAACATGGCTGCAAGATTTCTGCTTATGGTTAAAAGCTGTTTTCATAAAGTTGCTTTTGCTTTTAGTGTTCTGCCCCTGGCGTTGCAGCTTTTTCAGCTCACTTCTTGCCTTTGGCTTGTTAACATTATTTCTATATGACCTGGGAGAAAAGGAGGCCTTTTGCAAATCCTCTGCAGCAAACTGAGCTAATTCTCTGACTGTTGTTTTTGTATTATAGTTACCTTCGAACAAGTTCTGTCTGTTTTGAAATTCAGAAACTTGAGCAATAGCATCTTGCAAAGAAACATCTCCTTTAACTTGCAAAGCATTGATTATTGGAGAGCAATATTTTGGAAGGCTATCCAAAAACAGTCCAAGGTTGGCATGTTCTAGAAAGAATTCTCCAGGTGCTGTAACTTTAGACAAAGTTGTCATAAAGCTATTAATATGCTGATTTAAAAATTGAGGATGATGCAACTTTGTGTTAACAAGTTTGATCATGAGAGTTGTTTGATTAGAAGTACTTAGAGAATCAAACTCTTTCTGTAATTTGTCCCATATCTGTTTTGCATCAGTGAAACCTTGGATATGGTATGCAATGCTAGGATCTACAGACAAGCAAATATAAGATGCTGCTTTCTCTGCATTTTGATCAAACTGTTGTTGCTGTATTCCTGCTTCTGTGGGTCTCTGCCCACTTATTGCTTTAAACAGTCCCATTGTAGTCAAGTACATTTGCATTTTCCATTATTACATCTTATAATATGTTCCAGTTAATATTTAGGTGATAATTGTGAGATTAGGATTAGCAGAAGCCATTCTCTATTATTAAAGTAGTAAAACCTTTCTTACAGTCAAGATCCTCAGGAGAAGCAGTTTAAAATAAAATAGACTGGGCCCATAACCCAAAAATGTGGGGTAATTTAAGTTTCCCAGGGCTTCAACCCTTTTCAAAGGAACAAAAATATACAAATATGAAAGCTAAACCTGTGAGAGTCTGGCTCTCACTAGCCAAATAGCAGAAATGTGACTTTGCCTAACTATACTTCCCTAAAGAACTAAGACTGGCTCAAAAACAGCAAACATGTAGCTTGTAGTTTAACAAAGAATGATGGCTTTAATCTATATTTACCTAGAAAAAGCTAAATCCTAATCTAACTAGTTATGGTGCAGGTAAATAGAAGAAAACAGCACAGTTGAGAATCCTGAGAGAAAAAACTTTTAGTTTCAAAGAGGGAGTGAGCTAAGTTGCAAGGTTAATTTGAAGGGAGGAATTTCCAAGCAGGAATCCCTATCAATCTAAGGCAGGGGTAAGCAACCTTTTTGAGCCGGGGGCTGGGTTGCTGTCCCTCAGACAATTGGGGGGTCAAAGCACCAAAAATAAATAAATAAATAAATAAATAAATAAATAAAAATTAAAATTTAAAAAATATGCATGCACACTCTCTCAGCCCCAGAAAAGCCATGGCAAAACCCCTGTGGAGATTTTGCCAAGAAAAACCCAAAAAACAAGTAATAACAACAATAATTAATACCATCATGGCAGGTGGTGGTGGTGGTGGCGGTGGCCACAGGACCAGCCTGGGGCCAGTCCAAAGGCCTTGTGGGGCTGTATCCAGCCCCCAGGCCTTAGGTTGCCTACCCCTGATCTAAGGAAAAGGAAAGAGAATGCAAAGATCTTCCAACACCTTCAAATACTTAAGCAGGGCTATCATATCACTTCTTAACCTTCTCTTCTCCAGGCTAAACATACCCAGCTCCCCAAGTCTCTCCTCATAGGGCATGGTTTCCAGACCTAGTAGTATTCCAAAAAAAGTATTACTAAAGCCTTCTGCATGTTCCAAACCCTTGCACATCTTAA